AGGGTTTTCGGCACAATCCCGCGGCTCCGAAGCCTCCGCCGCTCCCTGGGCTCCAGAGGAGCGGGCAGCAGCGCCGACCGTGGTCGAGGGGCGGGCGGGCGGCGGTTTAAAATGGAAATGCGCGCCGGGGCGGGGCAGGCGGGCGGGGGCCGACGTGCAAGACCGAGGGCCGCGCGCCCAGCCCTGCTGGCCGAGTCCCGGGAGCGCGGTGGCGGCGGAGGCGAGCGCAGCGGGTCCAAGCACCGGGGTGGATCCTGGCCGCGCGGACCGGAGCCGCTGGGACTGCCAGTCTGCTCTCTATAAATCTCACTTGCTGCAGGTTTACTTGAGGAACCTCTAACCACGCAGCTGTGCAGAAGCTGCCACTCAAATGAATGACTCGTTTAATGACTCTCTTTGGTACCTGTTACCTTCCCCACCTTTACACAGGAGCAAGTGTGCTCCAAGGAAAAGAACAAAAGAGGCAGCACAGTAGCTTGGATGGGCCAGTGGGTCTCGGAAAGGACTACTCTCCCCGTGTTCTGGGTAAGCACCCGCTGCCCCTGACAACAGGCAGGGGAACTGACAGAGCACACCCAACAGGTTCGCTGGCTCAGGCCGGGCTTGCCCCCTCCTCGCCATCGCTAAGGGGACGATGGAGGTGACAACACCCACACTCGGAACACTTTGGGAGGAGTAACCTGCTTAGGATACCGGGGCCATGCATTCTGGGTGAGTACTCTGCAGTCACCATGAAGAAAGCCGAGTTTCCCCTCCAGCACAATGATGCCCCACTGCCATCTCTCGGCTCCCGGACACTGCTCTTCAGCACCACCTGAGGCAACACCAGACTCCTAGGTTACCGATGAGCCCATCAACGCTTCTCCTTGGCCTGACCACAGGTGTACTGTTCCAGCATCTGCTTGTGTAAAAGTTCCAGATGGAGAATTCAACATGTACTAATCCAATCAGATGCTTCACAGCCATCTCCAGGCCTGGTAATGCCAGAGACTGCAGGAGGCTGCATCTAGGCAAGGGGCTGGTGCCAGAGGAGACTCGCAGATTGTGGGCACGCAATCTTTTCACAAGCGTTTTGTGGGTGTCTACTGTGTTCACAGCACTGACAGAGATATACGGATGAATCCGATGAGGTCTCCTTCCAAACACACCGCAGTCTTAGAAAAGCTGGATTTTTGCCTTGGTGTGAAATTATATTTTCAGGTTTAATGAAATAGATGCAAAAGACCACTAGGTGATTCACTGTCTTATTTTTCTTTCTTAAATGTACTGGAAAACATATGGGATCACTGTGGGTGCCCCCTTCCTTGATAATAAATTTCTACCACAACGGGGTCACAGGTTCAGTCCATGTACTCTTTGAACTCTGGAAGTGGTATTTCCAGCAGGAACACCCTGCAAGATGAGGCCTCCAGGGCAGGTCCATCTCACCTTCTGCATCTCAGTAAAGCAGCCTCTTTAATTATCCCCCAGAACACCAGCGTCTGCAGTGGGAACTGGGCAGGAAGCATCTATCAGAACCCATTTCTAAAGCCCATCTGGTTGGGGTGCAGAGGCTCGGAGGGGTGGACACTTCCCCCAAGCTCATCCATGAGAGTGGAACCTGGGGTTTTGGGGTCAACATTACACATGCCCACTCTGCCATGTCATTTCTTTAGTCTTAACAAGCGTTCTGCTTTGTTGATAGCAAAGAGCAGAACAAATGTGAGTCTCAGGAGACTGGTGACTAAACCAAGGTACATGCGACCCTGACATTACCAGGACGCATTCTTAGTGAGCTTTCACTTCTGTGTTCACTTTTCTATTAGATCACTGACTACTGCAATGCTACCCGGTGACAAAGAAGGGTCTCTGCCTCTAAGAATTCACAAACTTGTGAGATGTGCGGCTGCTAAGTGACTTCACCACAAAAAGACGGGGGGGGGGGCAAAGTCATGAGTGACAACTGAGGGATGGCCACAATGCCCAGCATGCTCTCTCTCTCACGAGGGGCACCACTAAGACTTGGCAAAAGTCTCAACTTTACCACTGCAGCTCCCTGCCGGTCACCAGGGTGTAAAAGCGGAGAACCAGGAGCTGCACTGCAGAGAGAGACTGCTGCTGTGGGGGTCAAGAGCTGGAGCAAAATCCAGGGTTTTGCACTTAGCTGGGGGGCCTGGTTCGCCCACTGGGGAGACAGCGTGGACTTTCAAATACAGAGATCAACTTTAACATGAAAACATCTGGTCCATCCTTCAGATGGCTAAATACATTCTGCTTCTGTCCAGAGCCATTCATAAACCCCAAAGGGGCAATAAATTAAATCGCATTCCATTAGAGACCCAATGCAGAGCTGTGTCACCCAGTTCCTGTACCTTTGTCTGGAATCCATACCAGGTTTTGTGCCTTGCCATACTAGGCTACGGCTGCAGAGTAGAAGACTCCATTTGATCCACCTTAGATGACACAGAATCTTCCCCGGAGCTGCGTTCACCCAGTCAGGGTACTCCCTAGCTTTCAGCACTTGCCGCCCCAGGAGGAAGCGCTGATTTTCCACCCCAGTCATGAGGGTTCCGCATCCGCCCTGACAATGTGGCCTGGAAACAAGGATGGCCGAGAGTCGCCTCTCCCCACGCCCAGACATGGGCTCTCCCAATGCGATCTTCCCAACAGTTGCTCCAAAGCCTGCACTCCAAGATCTAAATCCCCTCTCCGAAAGCCAGACCTGCCTTTTCTAAAAAAGAAAAGGGCCATGGTGCCACGCACATTCCGGTGGCTTTCTGCTTTACCTTCCTGCGGCGCTCTAAGGAACGGATCCTCCCCCGGACAACATGCCTTTAGCTTTCCACAAGGCACAGCACCTCACCATGTTGGCTTTCTGGTGAAAGGTGTACTGAGGATCTCAGGGCCGCAGCCCCGCGGTGTGCACGCCCCCCCGC